CAGTTTTTTCCAGTTTTCTCAGTGAATATGAAAATTTAAAAAAAATCCTGACGCACTATTTTGGTCCATATTGTGCTTAACATGTGGCTTTGTATTCTTACTCTTTCTGGTAGTTGAGAAATATCCAAAATACCATTTTTACATAAAAATTCAAAATTTGTGTGGTAACATAATTAGGTGCTGGAAATTTCATGAAATTTTTTGGCTTGAGCATAGAGATATATCAAGTGAAAAAAAACAAGTGATTGATTCGATTCATTCGCCAATAAACGTTTAATCTTCACTAGAGCAATACCCGTGCACAACGTGGAGAGTATCCTTAACTGATTATGCGTCAGCGTTGTTCCTAAAGCACGACCGATAAGTGCAATAACATTGTCAACGCAGACTTCATCTCTTGTCTCATCCAAACCATAAATCTTATATCGGGAATGATAATTGGGTAATCTCGCCGATAAAGAAATTTCGCTACCCACCTATATAGCACCAGGCAACCCAACCACTAACCCCCCCATACATTGCATATTCCAGATCAAATTATATTGTAAGATCGTGCGCAGACTCTAACTGATTTGGTATTTTCAGGCATAGAAGTGCACAAGCGTCAATAACGGCATGTTTTTTAATTTCCAATTTGAACTCACAAAACAAAATGTTAAATTTTATGTGATGATTCACTTTTGTTTACTTTTAAACGTATTACAGTTTATGTATTGATTTTATTTTTTGTTTAATCCTACTTTCGACGTGTTACACGTTTATCTCATGCTTGCATTTTTAGTTTAATTAAAATTTCGTTCTATCTATGTATTTTTTATGTATATGTATATTTCTTTACCTTGTAATTTTGTGTGTGTAACTACGTGATTACGGTTTCTTATAAATGTATAACTTGTTCAAAGGCGTTCTTATATCACCTTCAATTTTGTTTGTTTTTCGATTTTTTGTTTACGATATTCACGATTAGTGAATAATCTTATGTTTATAAGTTTTGTAACAGCATTTCCGTCTCGTCACTACTTGTGCTAACACCGTCGATGCACACTACAACAATGCGACCATACTCAAACGACTGTAACCGTGGAAACCTCCAGCATCAGCCATTACGTTGCTGTTGAGTATTATTCGTGTGACTCGCTACCTCGCATCGTGCGTTGCATTATAACGCTCACGATGTCTGATCGTTCTCTACTACTGTCCACACCAGTTAACAGCCGATCATGGATCACTACACCCTTCGACGCCCCAACGAGAACCCGACCGCCCAGGGGGAGCCACCCCACAAACGGTTTTGTGCGGACCAGGCCATCGTCCCCACCAACAATGGGCCGATGACTACCACAACGACGACTACTACCACGACCAGGACCCCCACCGGCCGCCCTACGGGATGCCACTGCCACCGCCTACTGGACGCTGTCCCCGCACCGGTGCTGTTCCATTCCACCGGTCGGCCCCGTCTCCGAGGCCACGCCTCATATATGGCGGGGCGCCGGGACGCACATACAGTAAGTGGAACACCTTCCTCGATGATGTGCTCCGCTTCCGGCGGCTCAACCCTGGATTGACGGTGGTGCACCTCGATGACACCACCGCCATCCAGATAGGTCCAATAGAGGAGGCTCCACTTCCCGGTGTTGCGCTGGAATACCAGTAATGGCGCCAGCGCACCCACAACAACGGCACGGACCACGGATCACGGGTGACCACGACGGACGACCACGGCACGGACCACTACCACAACGACGGCACGGACCACGGACCATGGATGACCACGACGGACGACCACCACCACAACCACGGCATGGACCCCCGCCACAACCACAACAACGATGACGACGACGACGGCGACGACGCGAGATTTTTTTTAACAAAACAAAAAACAAATGAAATATTTTTTAGTTAAGGCCAATTTTAGTTAGGTTTAGTTGAGTTTTTCTGTAACATCAATATTATAAAAATATACAATGTAAAATTGAGCAACCTTTTAAATGAAAGATATACATAAACGTACAAAACTAACCTTAAAGTTGTTTGCTATAAGATAATAGAGTACCGAAGTGATGACGTCACGGTGGCATGACAACGAGCCAGCTGGTTCTACACAATCATATGCTCTGGTAACATTAACTGCGTGTCGTGTTTTGTACCCGATTGTAACCATCATTCTGAGAGTCATTATTGCAGTTTTTATAGATTTCCAAAGGATGGAAGTGAAAAGCAACAAAAAAAATATTTAAAAAAAAAAAAATATTTAAA